CTCCTCCACTTACTATGTGTTCCTACACCATGGTCTTCACACAAACTAAGTGCAAGACCAAAATTGGAGCCTACACTTGTCACTAATCCATGGCTCCTTTCAAGGCTTAATCCTACACCTACACTTGTCAACTATCCAAGCCAACATATGCACCTATCCTAGGCCAACAAGTGGGTGAATCTCCACCCTCTACATGTCAAAAGATTAAGCTTCCAAGTAACTCCACCCCAATGCCAACAAGTGACTTCATGAGAGTGCAACACTTGTCACGCTTTTCAAAAATTACAAAAAAGGTTATTTTTCAAAATATCTTCCAAATTAATTTACAAAATGGTCCCTAAGACGAAAAATAATTACTTTACAAAATTACACTAAAACCCCAAAAATCAAGAATATTTCTGAAGAAACTATGCATCCATGCCCTTTACGAAAAAAAGTAATCAACTAGCATGCTTTTCTACAAAAGTAAAAATACAATTATCTTGAAAATCAAATATTATGAATGCATGCAAAGCTGGAATCAAATCCGAGCATAAAAAGTGAGGTTATGCAAACAAAAACAATAAACAGGAAAAAGACGAAATATGAAAAAAAAAAAAAAAAAAAAAAAGGAAAAAAAGAAGAAAAAGAAATTATCGAAAAAAGAAAGGAAAGAAAATGACCGAGTCATTACATATCACCATATATATATATATATATATATATATATATATATATATATATATATATGTATCTGTGAGTGTACATACACCAACTATTACAATTTCTAGGTTTTTATCTGCAAGAATGCATTAGATGGGGACTTCCCTTTGGAATGAAAATGGGTATTCCAGTATCTTAGGGAATGATAATGAGTGCATGGGTGTGATTTACCTATAAGAAAATAATAATAATAATATACGAAATAGTCTTCTACTCAATTTTTCTTTACCTTGCTAAGTTCAATGCAACTTGTTGTGGGTATACACACACTATACCATGTGGGAATTTATTATATGATTTCGGAATACATGAATTTAAACAATAATAAGTTTATTTATTTATTTATTGAAAGGTAAATTTTCAATATATATTAATATGAACAAAAATTACAGGCCGGGCAATTATAGGCCCAAAAAGGCAACAACCCAGAGGCAAGTTATAAAGCTGGAGCAATAAGCATTACACCAGCTCATGAACAATTTAAATTGATCTACAAGATCCGCTAAGGAACCCATTTAATCCGGTGATCATGGGAATCTCTTCCCAACATGAGGTTTCCTCCTTCAATCACTTTGATCAGGTGGTTTCACCGGTGGCCGTATGACATTTTCAGGGAGTTCCCATTCGGTTGCGACTCTGCTTGCAATGGATGTGTCTGTTAGGATATGTGTGCCCTAGCATAGCAAATTTTAATTTTGGATTGTAAAAGTCATGGTTTCTTGTCTGTATATTATTATTAAAGCATTATACAATTGGTGAATGGAATGTATTATTTTTCGATTCTTTATGGAATTGATTGTGTCCGCTTGATTACAAAATATATTTATATATGTATGTAATGGCAATTAATACTATGATATAAATTAGTAATCATAAATGGTTTAAAGTCAGTAATTATGGATGGACATTTAATTAGTTAAGACTTAAACCGAGTCCATGATAGATTAAGATATATTGCAAGAGCTGTCGTATGCAATTGCTCTCTATCACAGTCATGGCTTTTGACTCTCAAGCATGAGAGAAGTATAGACTCTTTTATTAATTAATAATTACTTTGATTTGTTCGGCGGATACCTCGGGATCCTTAGATCGACACTTTGGGTAGTTATGTAATTAATAATTAGAGGTCTATGTTCTCAATATTTGCATCAGTGCTATTTGTATTTATTTTGTTTTGATTATGGTTGATCACAAATTAAATTTGAAGGCCTTCGTATGTTTTAGACAAATGTTTTCTATATATATTTATTTAATAAATTATTATTATTTTTTGTCAAATAAATATTTTATTGTGATCGAGCCGGAAATAATCAAAGGTAACAAAATAATTATATTAATTATGTTGTCGGATTGATGGCTTTAATTATCCGATAAATAATTAAGCATAGAGGGGTCAAAGTGCGACATTGACTTAGAGGTTATTTACTATTTAATTGGAGTGCAATTAATTTCTTTTAGTGGAGTAGAAATTAATTTATGAATTAATTGAATTGGTTCCATGGTTTAATGGACCGGACCAATTATTAATTTATAGGAGCCAAGAAAATAGTAAGCCCAAAAGGATTCTCACCAATACCCCAAGTTGATATTGGAGTCATGTTAAGATTGAGAAAGTTGAATTAGAGATGGAGAATGATTTATTGTTTCCTTATTCTTATTTTTATTTTGCCTATATATACATGAGTTCATGTATATTTTAGGTGTGACTTGGAGAACAAGAAAAAGGAATACACTTTCTCTCTCTATATTTTAGGGTTTTGTTTTCTCTTCTAAAGGAGGCTACCACCAGCCTAGATTCCAAGGTCATTCATCAAGGCATATTGGTGATTCCTAAAGGGAAGATAATAATCGAACGGAAGGAGAAAGGATCTTACTAAAGGGATCTACAATAAGTGAGAACATTCACTTTAGAGGAAAGTTCAAAAGGTTTACTCAGACCTTTGATGTAAGTATTCAATCTGTTAATTGAATTATGCATCATCTTTTATTTATCTTTGCATAAAACTTGTCTCTGTGTGATGAATCAAGATCCGTGATTGCAAATCCCTCAAAAGTTTTAAAAACTTGCACGTTTCCCAACAGTGTCAGTGATTGAAGAGTTCAGAAGTTTGGAGCGGATGGAGTCCAGTGTCATATGAAGAACTGAATTTGCAGATTGGTGCTTCTTTTGAAAAATTCTATTATTGCGCTCTATCCAGATGTTGTAGACCAGTGCTGCAAGGCTAAGTTTAGATACAGAGTTCCTGTGAAACTCTTATTTGCCTTTCCAGTGGTGAGAGGCCCAATTGATCAAGTCATTCCATGATGATGGCTAAATCTAGAACCCACATCTTGCTTGGAGAAATGTCCATAAGGGTCTGGTGAATGAACATTTGAAGAAGAGGTGATCGTGGGACTCTGGTTTAGCATTGCAAAGGACACAAGTTGTGGTGTTGATGTGTGTTGTGCACCTTCTATTCATGGTTGGGAGTCTCTGCTGGATTGCGACCCAAAGTGTGAAGGATTGCTTAGGAATTGATGATTTGGACCAAACTAAATGAGTCCATGGTATGGTTGGAAGGTGTTTTGTGAGGTATTTCATTGTTGCAGCTATGGAGAAATTGGTTGAAGAAGTAGGTGACCAAATGAACTTGTCCCTTCTTCGAGTCATGGGGGATGGCAAGGCTGTGTTTGGTTGTAACTGAGGTGTAATGGATAGTATGGAAGTGGGGAAATTCTAGGTAGAATCTATAATGAAGGAATTGCGTTTGGTTTTGGAATCATAGCCAGAGTCCAAAATCTGTTGAGGGGAAACAAGATGATGTAGAGGACCCAAAGGAGACCAGTTGTCAAATTAGAAATTGGTTGCTTTCACCAATTTCTAGTTTGACAAGGGGCATGATGCTACTTGTGAGACTAAGTAGTTTCCTCTAGCTCCATGAGCACTGACCTGGCACTTTCACCTCCCAAATGCTCCTGCCCTTCAACAAGTAAGTGTTAATCCATTGCACCCAAAGCATGTCATTTGAGCATATGATTCTCCAGAATTGTTTCATTATTGCAATGTCATTCCATACTATGAGATTAGGAAGCCTCAATCCACCTGCTCTTTTAGGTAGACAGCACTTGTCCCAAACAATTTTTGCACCTGAAGTTTTCAGAATAGGAACAATCCAAAGAAATGCACCAAAAATACTTTCCAATTCATGTGTGATACCTGCTGGAAGTCTCATATCATATAATAATTTATAATTATTGCTAGTGAAATGTCCACAGATATCAAAAAAGTTTATAGGCATTTACCCCATATATTTCAACTTGACTAATTAATGTGCAAGACGCTCAATTGACTACAGCAAATCACAAGTCACAACCATCAACTTGAACTCATTTGTCTCCTCTCCATACCTTAATTCAGCATATATGATATGAATAATTTCTGCATTTTGGTACGTAATAAGAGAAATCTAAATTTTGCAGCCAATGAGAGAGAGTGAGAAACAATAGGATGTCAAAGGATATTCTTAGATCTTGCTACTGGACGGTTTTGGAAGATTTCGTTAACTAATGGCATACAATACATAATGTTCCTCAGTACCATTCTTCATTAACCAATAGCACTCTTGACAGAGCAAAAATAAAAAAAAATAAAAAAAAAAAAACTAAGAAGTTTTCTCTACCATATTGCTTCACTTTATAATAATTAGAACAATTTGTCTCCAACCCACCCACTTGCAGCACCTTATATAATTAAATATAAAATAAAAATACAATACATAACATATCTTTTAAATTAATTAATCAGCTCAAGAAACACAAATTAAAGGTTATGGAGACCGGCCCACCTCGAAACATACCTATTCTAAACATAAGATAATATCTGATCCAATCAGCTTAGCAAACAGAAAATTTATATACCTCTCTATATATAAATATAAACATGTATATATATTAACGGTGTAAAGACCAATGTTTTCTGTGGTTTCTCTGTCAAGAGCCATCATCATCCACGTCACTGCAGTGCTTCTCTCCCATTCCAACTTGCATGCCAATTTCTTCTCTCTTCCTCAGCATGATCTCTCCCACTCTCTTTTTATCTCTTTCACCATTCTCTTTCCAATCCTTCTCCTTTGGCGGCCTTCTTCTTCTTCTTCTCCACCAGGACCACCACTCTTTAGTATTATCACCATGCCCAGAAAGCAAGAAGTGAGCATGCACCTCTCTCTCTCTCTCTCTCTCTCTCTCTCATCATTTCACACTATTTCTATCTTAAACTATGTATGGTTTGCATGGCTAACTAAAATTCATACATGGTTTCTCTTAAGGTCATGTGGCCAGGACTGATAGCTAGTAAGATCCTCAAAAAGAGATTGGGGAGCAACAATTTTGTCGCAGATTTTCCAAGCAGCCCAGAAAGTTTTCTACAGCTTCAAGGCCTAGATGATGATCAAGAACCTCCGTGTTCCAAGACCATTTTCAATGAACATGTGGAGACACACAACTACAAGTAAGAAATGTCTCTCTACCTTATATATATAATGTCCTATGGTACGTATATCTGAACCAGGATCCTTGCACAGCACCGTGCTGTAGGGGATGGTGGAGATCACCTTACATGGAGTCCACACTCCGATCTCCATCCTTTCCCTTATCTGGCATGCTGTGCATAGAATAGGATCCTAATTCTATATATCCTCTTCAGATTTTTCTTCTTCTTTATTCATTTTAAATCTTGTAATATATATATTTTTTTCTTTTGAAAGGGTTTTTGTTAGTAGTTGGAACGTTGGCGGGGTAGAACCCACGGATGATTTGAATATGGAGGATTTGCTAGATACATGCAACACTACATGTGACATCTATGTTTTTGGGTAAATTCTCAAAAATCTCAAAATTAAAAAAATAAATTAATTTAAATAAAATGTAGGAGATAGAAGTCAACTTTTATGATGGCTCATGAACAAAAGTTTATATGATTTCTAAACATGCAGGTTTCAAGAAGTGGTGCCTCTAAGAGCAGAAAATGTTCTTGGATCAGAAAATAGTAGAATTACCATGAAATGGAATTCCTTGATTAGAGAAACTCTAAACAAGAAAACTTGCAGCAGCCAAGAAGGAAATGAAGTGAAACAAGAAGAACCACAAATTCCGATTCTCGCGAAAGATGGAAAGCCAACCCTGAATTGCATGAATATACCACAGGAATTCAGGTGTATCATTAGTAAGCAAATGGTTGGAATATTTGTATCAGTTTGGGTTCGAAGTAATCTTCGTCCATATATTCAATATCCAAGCGTTTCATGTGTAGGCTGTGGCATCATGGGTTGTCTAGGAAATAAGGTAATTAATCTTTTAACTGTAATAATATCATCAACACGTACAATATTTGTTCCTGTACTATTAAGCTTAGCTACTACAATTGCACAGAATATGAACAATGATATCTTACCGAAACATAAAATTCTTTTCCCGGTAAGGTGAAAAAGAATTATATTAGAAATTAATGATATCATGAAAATTAAAGTTGTATTTGTACACGATCTTAAAATAAAGTTATTGGCATTTTTTTTCATTGTCATCTTCGCCATAACTATATACTTAGTCTATGATGTTCCCACTATATCAAGAAAATTAAAATAATACCAATATCATGAGTATATTAAATATACATATACATATGCATAAACATTAATATATGAGCTAATCAGATTATACATACATCTAAAAGTGTTCAGAAAACTAATTGTATTTTTTTCGTCTAATTTTTTGTTTGCAGGGTTCGGTGTCAGTTAGATTTGGGTTACATGAAACAAGCTTTTGTTTTGTGTGCAGTCATCTAGCATCAGGTGGGAGAGAAGGGGATGAGAGGTACAGAAACTCCAATGGGGCCGAAATATTGGCTAGGACAAGTTTTCCAAAAGGCCCTTTGCGTGATTTGCCAAGAAAGATCCTTGATCACGAGTATGTTAATTAAGATTATTTGTTGAAGCCGTCCAAACCGACTTATACTAACAATTTGTCTTCTTAATTACTGTTAACAACAAATCATAAGAATAAGACATAATAGTCAATTAATTTTTTTTTTTTTTTTTTTTTTTGTTGTATATATATATATATATAAAGTTTAAAGTTGTTATTTGAGACCTCCAATCCAATCATATTAAGTCAAATTCCTATGATTATGTTAATAAATAACCTTTTTGACATTTTAATTTTATTTTTTGTTGTTATCGATGAATTTTTTGAATAATGTGGTTCTAAAATGAGTTAAATGGGTAGCTACACCACCTGAAAAGGATGATCCCTTGCTTGGTAAACCATCTAATATATACAATAAAAAAACTATTTCAGTAGACAAGTTGACTTCTAAATTATACAGTTTAATATTACTTTTGTATTTTGGGGGGGGACAAAAATAATCATTTGGGGTCATTAAGCTAGATAATAATTACATTATTTTAAGATTAAATATCTTGATGATATTTGCTAATTATGCTTGCATGGTTTGGTCAGCCGGGTAATTTTTCTCGGAGACTTGAACTATAGGATCTCCCTTCCAGAATCAGCCACAAGATTACTAGTAGACAAAGGAGAATGGAATTTGCTACTGGAAAATGATCAGGTATAAAGATATAAATGAAAAACTATAGATTAATTTCGTTTAATCATATGATTACTACTAATTAATTGTTATTTATATGTTTTCTCATGGAAATAAAGCTAAGAATGGAGCTCATGCATGGTCAAGTATTTGAAGGTTGGCATGAAGGGTCCATCAAATTTCCTCCTACTTATAAATATTATCCTAACTCTGATGAATACTATGGTGGTGTTGAAGGCAAAAAAGGCGAAAAGAAACGCGCTCCTGCATGGTAACTTAATTGTGGCCACTCTATAGAAAAATTCTTTGTATATATATAACTCAGAACTATTAAGATCATGAGATGTGAGATTCATATGAAAATGATTTTCTTCTTAGGTGTGACAGGATAATTTGGTTCGGAGAAGGTCTAAAGCAACATCAATACACCAGAGGCGAATCGAAATTGTCTGACCACAGACCTGTCAAAGCAATTTTCACAACTCAAGTAATGTTTTCGCGAAAATTCAAAGGGTTTCAGAGTTTCTTCTTATCGGAAAGATTTGAACGAATCACGAACCAGTTAGAGATGTCCTCAGCGGATCATTTTCAATGCAATGGCAGATCAAGCTTCCAAATTAGGGTTTAATTTGTCCCATTAACGATAATGATGTGTTCTATCTTGTAATATATATATTCAAAGAAAGAAGAAATAGTAATTGCATATATAAGAAGGTTCTACTACAAATATAAATTGGATGCATTTGTTAAATTTGCTGATGGAGTGTGCAGTGTTGATGATATTGTTCTACATTTGAGCCAAAAAAGTTGTCCAAGTCATGCACTCTCTACCAATGGATTATATATATATTTATATAAACATGTTGATATATTATAAGGCTTGTTATACATGGTCCAAAAACTATAATCCAAATTTAGTTGCCCACATGATGCTCCCAAACAGGGTGTTGCAGGCTACTTCCTTTGCATATATGGCCCACCATTTATTTAATTATTTATTTATTTTTACCACCATCTAATTAATTTAATTTGGCTTTAATTTTCCAATGATTGGCACGACCAAAGTATCAATTTGATTGGACGATAACCATGAGAGAGAGAGATTGGCAGTGAAAGCTTTACAAAAACAGTAAAAATCATAAATTTCCATCAATTATTGAGTCCAGTGGTTGTGAGTAGTGGGACACTGAGTGCATAATCTACTGTGGGAGTATAATTTTAATCTATATATATAATGCACGACTAGCTAGGAACTTGTGGTCCAAAGAAATTATGGGCGTATTTTGTCCAGGACCAATTCTATTTCTGAAATTGGTAAAAATAAAATAATTAAATTAACGGCTATTATTTAGAGATAAATTTAAATACTATTCTTTTTTTGTCGCTAGATCTTTTCGACTTGTCTTTGTCACTAAGTTTGTTATATGAGTACATTTATTTAAGTAGGAGTTGCGGAAGGAGACCAAAGCTAAAAAAGTTGTGTTGCTTAGGCATATATATACAAACATGTTGCAACGATGCTGGGTACAAAATTTATATCCACATCTAGGGGGCGGAGCCAGCTGTTGGTTGAGGTTTGCTCTATTAATGTCAAATAAATCTCAAAAGTGTGAAGGGGACTCATTCTATATTGGTATTTGTCAGAGGGGCATTTCAGTCATTACACATGTGTGTCAATGAAATTGATCTTCCTAAGGTGCTATACTACATCACAGTGTTTATTATATGGTATATATTCACACACACAGGTGGCAACAAATACAACGCTGCTGACAGGGCATTTTTGGTAGTACATCGATATTTTTGGTGCAATGAAGGACTCACAACATTGTGCCACGTGCACTGTGGTCCTAGTGTGAGAGGCTAATGACAGAAATGCAATTATTTGGCAGCTTATATCAGCAATGTATATTGACCCTTTAAAGCTACATAAAAAGGTGTTTAGCTATGTAAAGTTAGGGCTGTACAAGGGGCATATTGGTCCATTCGTGATATTTAATGTCAGCATATTTCCCTATCTATGGTTGGCTAATGAGGGAATATACTTATCCATACTAGGGCAGCAAAATGAGAGTATAAAAGTGTTGTTATAGCAGTAGCAGCAGTTGTGTGCACCTAAGATAGCCTATAATGAACTTTTGAGCTGAAATTGAAAATGGTCTCGAAAGCTTAAAGTTTTAGTAATTTCAGAGAGATTCATTGCTGATTTAAGCAGCATTTAATCTCTGATATCATCATGAAGAAGGTGCAGATTTAGTAAAGGTTACATGTTGCAGATTTCTAGTGCAAAAAGGAGGCTTGGAGGTTAAAAAATAGTTGTGGCTGCTTCTGGGGTCTAAGCATGGTTTAAGCAAGTTTGTTTGGGGTTTTCACACCTGCAGTAGGCATCTACACAACCAAAATCAAGCTGGTATCAATTCTCACATCTCAAACCTTCAATTTAGTTTGTTTTCTGGTTTATACTTCTGGAACTGAGTTTATCATCATATAATATTGCTATACTATGCTCGTACATCATCTGAGCATGATTGTATTAAGAATTAGAAGCTTTTGAAGTTGACTCTAAACCAGAAAATTGGCTTGTTACTGTTTTGACTTCATAAACCTCACAACCTAGGGTTTTAGGCTTAAAGGGCTACTGTGTGTGTGAGCTGTGAATGCAATACCTGTGAGTAGGTGCTAATATCTTCATTCGAGCATACATATTTTGATCATATATGACTGAGAGAACCAAGAATTGAGCTGTGCTACTGCAAAATTATAATTTTGTCCTTAAGAACAGTGTTGCTGTAGAATATTGTTAAGTGACTAATTTTGTGCTATATATGGATAACATCTTGCTATAAACTTGAAGTAGATTTTTGAGAAAGAGTTAATTGTTAAATGGAAACTATGAAGACTGAAATCAAGAAGGTCTAAACTCAAAATTACAGATTTGCCCCCCTTTCACCAGAAAGTTTAAGTGTAACAAATACATCTGTTGTCAGCTATTTGCTTGTTGTTTTATGAGCTGCTGTGGTGTGTTCTTGTTGATATAACTTATCCCTGCTACAAACTAAGTGTAATACATTATTTTAAAGCAGAGGGAACTTTTGGTTGTTCGAAATTTGAATCATTATAAAACTGTGTTTGGTATATGCTGGGAGCTAATGTTGAAAAACTAAAATTATTGAAGTAAGCACTCATAGTTGATATCTTGCTATTCTTTTGTTAACTATCATCTAAGCAAGTGCATTTAGCCTAATGAAGGCTGGGGGAGTATTGCTTAGGGTGGTCCTAGAGGCTGAATTACCATCTTACCCTTGAGAGGTTTAGTTTTGGGGTTTTATAGAAATCAAGGTTGTAGTGGTTTTATATTGTTATACCTTGCTTATCCAACTGTGTTTATCTCTCAAGCAAGTATATCCTACCTATATAAGTTTGTGAAAGTGAAGGATGAGCCCCAGTTGAAGCTATATTACATAAACACCCTTGAAAGCTTGTAAGCTAGTGTTTATTGAGGTTTTGTGTCTAACAGAGATTATAAAGCTATACCTTGTTGTTTTTTTTGATCTTAACATCTATGCAAGTATAATTTATCTATTAAAGGCTGGTACAGCAAGTTTGAATTGATACTACAGCTATTTTACAAATTTACCTTTAAGAGCTAAAAGCTAGGGCTTGCATTGCTTCAAGTCTTGTGTGAACTGAGATTGATATACCTTGCTCTGTTAACTGTTTTACTCTATTAAGCAAGGTTATTTGAAGGTATCAAGGCTTTATGTGACAAGTGCAGGTTGATTCTGAAGTTGTAGTGTAAAGTGACCTCTATACGTTTGGTGTTAGGGTTTTTGCCTTTAGGAGCTGATATTTTGTTATCTTGTTTATTCATTTGAGAATATCATTCAAGCAAGTGTATTTGGCTGAGACAAGGCTGTGGGAACTTGGTTTGAGTACAAAGTGAAACTGCATTGTGATTTAATTGTTATATCCTCTTGTTGCAGTGAAGTGAAAGCTAGGGTTTCTCATTGTGTTACTTTGAGCTGAGTATTTTATCTTATCTTGTGGTGCAGTTGAAGTAAACTGAATTTGGTGTGTTGACACCTCTTTGTAAATGGTAGTGGGGAATTGATACCTCATCCCATTGGTGTTTAAGCTATTGAGAGCTTATTGAGTCTAAGCATGGTTGCTTAGGATAGGGAGAGTGCTGTGAGTATACTGTTGAGCTAGTTGATAAGTGTTTAAATATTACACATTTCAGTACCTAAGTTAAGATATTTCAGTCCTTACACCTATTTTACTTTCATGTTTTAGTCCTAATTTATGTTTATGTGTATTTCAGGGCAATAAAGTAAAAATGAGCCAACAACGGTCCATTAAGGCCTTTTGAAGTCAAGCCAGAGCATAGGGGACAACATTCAGAAGGAAGCAAGGATGCAGCAGTGCATCACATCCAGACGCCATTCCTCGCGTCTGAACACAAGTCTTTTATACACTGCGTTCGGACGACAAAATCTGCGTCCGGATGCTAAAAGCTGCGTCCGAATGCCATGTTGCAATTTAAGTTACGGGTTTGACCTATTTTGATGGCTATGGGATTTTATCTTTTGGGCTTGTTTTTGTAACCGATGGGCTTTATTAGGTTTTGTATTAAAGGGAAAATAGGACCTTTATTTAGTGGTTAGTTTTTGTTTTTTATAATTAAGTTTAATTTTTCTGTATCAATATTACGTTCTCTCTGAAAAAACACGCAAAAGCAGAGAAACAGAAGAATAGGCTAGGGTTTGGAAGAAAAAGCTCAGAGATAATGAATCAAAGGATGGAGATTGTTCTATCTTCGAATCTGTTAATCATGAGTAGCAAATTCTTCTACTTAGGGTTGGATACACCCTAAACATGTAACCTATTCTCTCTTTCTTTCTTACTTTTTAGGGAGTAATTTATGTAATTGATGTATAGGCTTGAATAACATGATTAAATTCTTCCAATTTTTTATTTGTATTAATCTCATGTTGTCTTATGTGTTGTTGATTGATAAACAAACTTTACACTTGAATTCTTTGTTAATTAATTCTTGTGATGTCTATGCATTGTGATGATTAGTTGTAATTGTGTTTCAAATTGATGGAAAATACTTTTACTTGATGGATGGCATTACATGTTTAGGGTAATTTATTATCTAATTAGTTTTAAGTTCATGTTTAATTAGTTTAATTAGTTTAATTGTAATTTAATTATTATGTAAGTAGACCATCCATACTTGTGCTTGAATTCTATACTTTCTGTCACAATTGCATTACCCTCTTGATTGATGTATGTTAAAATTGTAACTTGAATTGATGAGTCATGCTTTGAATTGGTGCATTGTACTACATTTAGTTTAATTGTCAGTAAGTAGGGAATTCAAGCTTGAAATTGATGATTCATACTTTTCCTTGCAAGCGTTAGCTACATTAGAATTACATATTATTATTTCCCCAATTACTTAAAAGTTAGTGAGTTAGGGAATGTACTTAGTGGTGAATCCTACACCCTAAGTCTCTTTCCTAACTTTTAAACTCTATTATTTTATTACAATTATTTAGATTAAAATTATTTATAATCACAAAACAAACGTTTCTCTAGCAATCACATAAGCACTAAAGTATAATTCAATTCTAAAAACTAATATTTGTTTAGATCTCTTGGGACGATCCCTTCTCGCTTCATACTCCATAGTATAAGTGTTTAATGGTTTTAAAAATATAAAATATGATGCCCACTTTACATTATTTCTAAACCTAAAGTGTTGTGCATTAATTTGTGCACAGGCTCAGTCGCATCATAGTTTTGGCGCCGTTGTCGAGGAACTAACGATTTAAAGAATTGAATTAGACATTAGTTTTTTGTTGATTGTTTACTTTAAAGTCATTTTATTTTTTGATTTGTTCACTTGATACTTGTCAATTAGGTACTTGAAGCAAAGTGAAGCAAATGCTGGACCTAGAAATAATAAAAAATAATTTTTTTTTTTAAAGTTGCTTAAGGACCATTTATAAGTTCTTTAAATTCTTGAAATTTAATTGTTTACTATCTTGTATGTTTTAGACAGCCCAAATGGAGGCTTAAATTGAATTATTTTATTTTTAAGTCCAAGCATACCTTCATGAAGAAGGCATCAACCCGTGTGGAGGTTTTTATTTGTTTTAGTGCATTGATATTTTTGAGGAGTTTGGGAACATTGTTGTGTTGAAAATTGTAAGCCTCCATTTGGGAACACCTTGGTGGTACACCCGTGTGGAGGTTGAAAATTGTTGTGTTGGTATTTTGACGTATTCTAGTGCATGCATGGTCGTAGATCACTTAGTCATCCTTTTACTCCTGTAAATCAAAATCTCGAAGTTTCCCTTTGGCATTTAAGAAGTAGTACTAGGGATAGTCATCCTAATCTTTCAAATTTTAATCTTCCATCACCTTTAATGGAAAACCCAATTGAAGATCCAATTAAAGATCTTGGTCATGTGAATCACCAAGGTGTGTACCACCCACAACTTCACGATGTGGAATCCCAAGGTGTGCATCCACCCTTGGGAATTCCAAGACTAATCAATCATGTTGTGCATCAACCTAATCTAGGGATGCCAAGGCCAAATGTTGTTCCCCCAATTGGTGAGTAACAACATCAATATGTTCAAATGGCATACCCTCATCAAAGTCAAATGGCATATCCTCCTCTCAATCCTCCAATGGTCCTTAGGGATTGTTACACTCCAAATCAATATAATGCACCCACTTGCATTTAATTACCAAATTTTCGTGCTCATCATTATGAGATTAAGGCTTCCACCATTAACATGTGCCCCCTTTTCTATGGGTTGAGCAATGAAGAGCCTTATAAACATTTAGATGAGTTCTTGGAAGTTTGTTCCACCGTGAAAATCATGGATGTGCCGGAAGAAGTCCTTAAAATGAAGTTTTTCCCTTTCACTCTTCGGGATAAAGCTAAATATTGGTTTAACAACTTAGGGCCAAATACAATCACTTCTTGGATATAATTGCAACAAGGGTTCCTAAAGAAGTACTACCCCGTGAGTCAAACCAATTCCATGAGAATGTTTATTCGTGAGTTTGCACAAGAAGGAGGAGAACCCCTTCATGAAGTATGGAACGTTTGAATGATTTGCTACGGAAGTGTCCGCATCATGATATTCCTAAGTGGCAATTAGTTCAATGTTTCTTTTTAAGTTTATCCGATGCCAATAAGGGCATTATTGATGCTTCATGTGGAGGCAGCTACATAGAAATAAATGAGGATGAAATTTGGCATCTTTTCAAAAAAATGAATGAAAACTCAATACATAGATCTTCATCTTCTAGGGGGGGTCGCCTAGCACATGTGGGAGGAAAGAAAGCTCTATATCAAATAGATACTTCTATGAAAATTGCCGCCGAGGTAAAAAATCTTACTCAAAAGTTTGATAAATTCCTTTTGAATCAAGGTCCGATAATTTAATCTTATTCTCATTATTCCAATGAAATGTGTATGACTTATTCTAGTTACACTCACCATACTTCAAATTGCCCTCTTGGACAAATCATACCAAATGAGTCTCAAGAACTAAATGCCACTTTCATTCATCAAGGGAATAACCCTTATTCCAATACTTACAATCTGGGGTGGAAGAATCATCCAAACTTTACATGGAAAAATCAAGGAGATGGTGCAAACCCTCCTTAAACTCAAGGTTACCAAGCAAAGTATGTTCCCCCACATCTCCAAAATCAGAATTCTCAAGGTTACCGTCCTTCATTCTATCCTCAAAATGTGAATCGATATTCTCATCCTCAAGCATCAAATTCTCAATCCTACTCTCATCCTCAAGTATCAAATTCTCAATCTTACTCTAATTGAAATCAAGCGCCTCCTAAGAGTCTCATTTTTGAAGACAATGTCTTGGAAGCTTTGGGTGATCTTCGAAAAGATAATCAATTATTTCATTCTCAGTCTCAATCAGTTGCAAAGCTTGAAGCTTAAATTAGGCAATTAGCTAATTCTTTAAATGTGAGAGCGAAAGGTAAGTTTCTTAGTCAAACTGAGACCAATCTTAAGGGGCAATTTTTGGCGCAAGCAAGTCCTTCATCGGGATTTTCTGGAAATGAGCAAGTTCAAGCATTTACTACCTTAAGGAGTGGTAGGAATATGGATAATAAGGTAGAGGTACTTAAGGAGGATAGTGAACTGATACAGCCAAGTGGTCGCATCCGTCCCATACCAAATCCTATTTCTACTTCCTTGGATATTAGTGGTTCCAAAAAGGCCATTCTATCATCTTCATCATCATTTTCCCAATTAGAGAAGCCTTATGAGCCAAAAGCTCCATTTCCTCAAGCATTAAGAAAGACTTCATCATTTGGGAGACAAGAAGGAAAAATTCATGACATGATGGAAGTGTTTAAACAAGTGAAAATTAATCTTCCTCTTCTAGATGCAATTAGGCAAATTCCACCACATGCAAAGTTCTTGAAGGACTTGTGCACTCAAAAGAGGAAAAACAAAGGAAAGGACCTTAAGAAAGTGCTAACTGAACACGTGAGTTCCATTCTTCTTTTTAACACTCCTTCTAAGCTCAAGGATCCGGGTGCTCCGACCATTTCTCTTGTTATTGGAAACCAAGAGGTTCATAGAGCTCTCCTTGATTTAGGTGCAAGTATTATCTCATTTCATACTCTATTTACTTGCAATTAGGATTAGGGTACTTGAAGCCAACATCGGTAGTAATCCAACTAGCCGATAGATCAATTAAGAAACCGAGGGGAATTGTTGAGGACATTCTAATTAAGGTTGATAAGTTTTATTTCCCGGTTGATTTTGTGGTACTTGATACTAAACCAGTCCCTAATCTTACCAATCACATTCCAGTCATCCTAGGAAGACCATTCCTTGCCACTAACAATGCCACCATTAATTGTTGATCCGGCATTATGGACATCTCTTTTGGCAACATAATGGTTAAGCTTAATGTATTCAATGCAAATCAACATCCTATATATGAAGATGAGTGTTTCCTAGTGGCTATCTTGGATGAAACCATAGAGGAGAATCTTCCCTCTATTCTCTCTAAGGACCCTCTTAAGGCGTTCATTTGTGAAATGTTTGAAAGTTGTGGTTTTGACACAGAAGGATCCATAAGTGAGGTGAATGCTTTGATGGACTCTATGGCCATTTTGGATTTCCCATCTTGGAAAAGCAAGAAATAACATATTCCTTCACTCTCTAGTACTCCACCAGTTCCTTTTCTCATCTCTCCTCCTACTCTTGAGCTTCAGCCTCTTCCATCTAATCTTAAATACGCCTTCTTAGGCCCAAAAGAAACTCTTCCGGTCATCATTGCTTCAAATCTTGAAGATGCCTAAGAGAATGATCTTTTGGAAGTGCTTAAAGCTAACAAAGAAGCCATTGGATAGAGTGTAACTGACCTAAAAGGCATTGACCCTTCTATTTAGATGCATCGCATACACATAGAAGAGGATGAAAGGCCATCTAGGGATGCTCAAAGGAGATTAAACCCTAATATGAAGGAAGTTATCATGAAAGAGGTTGTGAAACTTCTAGATGCAGGAATCATTTATCCTATCTCTGATTCCAAGTGGATTAGTCCAACTCAAGTGGTTCTTAAAAAGTCGGGAATTACAGTTGTTGAAAATGCTAAGGGTGATTTCATCTCGAAACGCACCGCCACTTCGTGGCGTATATGCATAGATTACCGAAAACTGAATTCTGCCATTAGGAAGGACCATTTCCCATTACCTTTCATTAATCAAATCTTAAAAAGATTGGCAGGGCAACAATATTATTGCTTCCTAGATGGTTACTTGGGGTACAATTAAGTGGCCTTAAACCCATTGGACCAAGAAAAGACCACCTTCACATGTCCCTTCGGTACATTTACTTATCGACTGATGCCTTTTGGATTGTGCAATGCTCTTGCTACTTTCCAAAGGTGTATGATGTCAATTTTTTCGG